CCTTAGCTGCAAAGGAGCCTGGAACGTCGCTGGCATGTCTGTTTCCTGTGTTGTGAGACGGGCTCTCGCTCTCAGCAAGCTTACCCTGAAACAGGTGATCTCTCATTCTGAGAGCCAAAAGGCATAGCAAAGAGGGTCATGTGTGTTTCTTTACACGCAGTCCCACACGTGTGACAGTAACGTGCTGGGTTGCTGACCTGAAGGCTGGTGGTTGGAGCCTAGCCAGTGGGTGTGCGGGACTAAGACCTGGGAAGATTACATCCGGAAAGCCCTTGTAGCAGTTCTCCCGTGTAAGTCGGAGTGGATGTCACGGCACCCACCAATAGTAGTACGGTCCACTACACTAGAAAACTCATCATTGAAAAGAATGCTTCAAGAGATGGCAAAAAGCAACATGGAATTGTCAGTCAAGAGATAGCTGCTATTATAACTGCACTTCCAAGACCTGTTGCATGGCGAACTTGGGTCTCTTGGAGAATGGCCCTGGATGAAGCAGGAGGTGGGGGGCGTAAGCTGACCTTGGCAGTCGCCAAGGAGTTTGTTTTGTTTAGGGACGGAGACTAAAGACTGCTGAGAAGCTTGTCGACTGTGAGCTTCAGCAGGATGTGGCCTGGCTGAGCCGTTTGTTCAGAGATGCCTGATGCCGGGGTCAGTGCCCCAGCCTTGTCCGATCCCTGCAGTAGACTCCTTACATCCCCTTGCCTGAAGGGTGAAGTCCTACTGCCAGTTTTCATGCTCAGCCCTGAGGATGGATAAAACCAAACCCAAACTGAGCTCTGCTGTCGAGTTGGTTCCGACTCACAGCGACCCCCACTGGGTTTCCAAGGCTGCAGACCCTTACGGAAGTGCTTCGCCTCATCGTCCTCCCGTGCAGCGGCTGGTGGGCTCGGATCGCTGCCTTACCAGTCCGCCACCAGAGTTCCTGTGAGGGTGGATGTGGCCGCTTAAACCCTCAGGTGTCCGGGCCTCCTCTGTGCCGTCTGCTCCTCTGTCCTGAGGCCTCTGCTTCAGACTGAGAACAGAGTACAGCTGAGTTGTGCTGGGGCTTGGACACGGTGGCCTGGAGGCGTGGAGGAGAAAAGGCATCTCGGATGTCACTGCTTCTTTTCTTTTTAAAATTTTTGTTGTGATTTGGGTGAAAGTTTACAAAGCAAATTCACTTTCCATACAGCAGTTCATACACGTTTTGTGTCATGACGCTGACTGCGGTACCCCACAATGCAGTAGCTCTCTTCCACTTCCTCCCGTAATTACCTCTTCCCGGTGTCCTTCCCTCCCATGCACTCCTGTGCCTGAGCTGTCTCCCTGTGCAAACACTGCCCTTCTGGTCTCCAACACTGATCATTCCACACAGTGTATCTATCTGATGTAAATGTTCACCCCATGTGCCTCTCTGTTGTTTGGCTGGAAGCCAGGGGAGTGAGCTCCGTTCCAGAGGTGAAGGGCAGCTGGGGCCATAGTCTCAGGGGTTTCACCAGGCTCTATCAGACCAGCCAACCTGTTTTTTTTTTTAATGATTTTGAGTTGTGTTCCACATTGTTCTCCCACTCTGCCCTGCACTGATCCCTTTCCAAGTGGTTGACAGTGGTAGCCAGGCACCCTCTAGTTCTTCTGGTGTATGGTCAGAGAGGCTGAGGTTCCCATGGCCCACTGGTCCCTTGGACTAATTGGTTCCATGTGTCTTTGGCTTTCTTCATTCTTCTTTGCTCTGGACGAGGAGAGACCCATAGTTGCGTCTAGATGACCGCTTGCACGCTTTTAGGACCCCAGTTGCGGATCTAGCAACTTCTTAGACCGCTTTCCCCGTTCTCCTCGTCCAACACCCGCTCTCCCATCTCCGGTTTCATGGATGCTCGGTGCGTCCACTTCCTGTGTCATTTCTTGTGTGAATAAACCCCACTGTCGTTTCTCAGTTTTCGCCACTGTCCTTGGGACTCGGCTTTCCTGGGCCTGTGTGGTCAGTTATCCGTTGGTTTCCAGCTTCTGACATCTTGTGCTGTTCCATCCTCTTCTAGAAGCTCACTCTCTCCGCTCTTAAAGAAACAGATTAAACGGAAATTCTTTGTTGTCATCTAATGGGTTTCAGAATGGGTTATAATTGCATGTCTATGTTTAATCTGTCACACCTGCTTGCTAGTCATAGCAAGATAACTCCTCTGTAAGGATTTTTAAAAAAAAATTCCAATGACTATGTTTTAATTTCCTGAATTTCTTACTGGTAGTCCTTCATTTCCACCTGTCCTTGTTTTATTTCCTATTTTCTTTTATGCATTTTATTGAAATATAATTTATGTGAAATACACAAAACTAAAGTGACATGGGTCAATGCTTTTTTTTTTTTTTTTTTTTGCAGTGTTCCCTCCCCTCCCCTCCCACCCCTGGCAACCAACAAAGAAAGTTCACCTCCATATATAAACCTCTCCTTGACCCTCTACAACAATGAACTAATACTACATTTGTCCTTCTGTGATTGACTTATTTCACTCAGCATAATGTCCTCCAAGTTCATCCGTATTATGCGGTGTTTTGCAGACTCTACATTATTCTTTAGTGCTGCATAGCGTTCCATTATTTGTATGTACCATAGTTTGGTCATCCACTCCTCCGCTGATGGGCACGTAGGTTGTTTCCATCTTTTTGCTATTGTAAATAGTGCTGTGATGGACATGAGCGTGCATGTATCTGTTCCCGTCCTGGCTCTCACCTCTAGGATATATACCTAGTAATGGGATTGCTGGGTCAAATGGTATCTCCAATTCCAACTTTCTAAATAATCGCCATATTGTTTTCCACAGTGGTTGTGTCACTTCACAGTCACACAAGCAGTGTATGAGAGTCCCAATCTCTCCACATCCCCACCAGTATTTGTTATTTTCTGTCTTGTTGAACCTTGCCATCAGTGCTGTGGTGAGATGGTATATTTCATTGTTTTGATTTACATCTCTCTGATGGCTAATGATCGTGAGCATCTTTTCATGTATTAGCTGACCACCTGAATATCCTCCTTGGTGAAGTGTCTATTCACGTCATCTGCCCATTTTTCAGTTGGATTGTTAATTCTTTTGGTGTTGAGGCATTGGAGTTTTCCATCCATCTTAGAGATAAGTCCCTTGCCAGATACGTAATTATCAGCAAATATGAATTTGTTGCTGTCATTTTTGTCACATGCTTTTTCATTTTGTCGATTTCTTTGTTTCATATAATTTTCTATGCTGAGCTCGTTTTGTTTATGAATCATGTTATCACTTCCTTCATTGCTATTGTTTTAGTATTTGCATTAATATTTACTATTAAATATTTATTCTGGTCTACTTTTTTATTGTGATGTGAAGGTTTATCATTTTTCTTTGAGGTTACCCTGTGATTT